GACTGTATTTGCCTTCCTTGATTGCCACTGTTCATATTCCTTCAACTATTACATGTTGCTCTCTCTGAGCCCTAAAATCACTTTGCAGTGTCAAAGGCGAAGAGACACCCAAACTGCAGCTCCCTGCTTTGTGAACAGGTGCCCAGCTGTCGGCTGGCTTCTTGCTCACAAAGGCTGAGACTTTGCTAAGAGATGTGCTGTTTGAGAGGAAGAGCAAATTTCAACCCAACAGATGGTCCAGGAGGGGATGAGTCATTGTGCATACAAAAGCCACGAACAGCTCACGCATAACTCACAAGTTACGTATAAAAGACAGAGTTCAAACACAAATCAACTGAGTAATTTGTGTCAATGTGTAGCAGGACCAGTACATCATAAAGGAAAAGGAGCAAAGCCTGTGAAGTACCAGGGGTGGTCTGACCCAGGAGGAAAGGAACCAGCCTCTCAAAATCACTATTAATGCCAATTTCCCAGACCATCACACCAACAGCTAAATTTATTACTGTCAGCAGAAGACAACATAGGAAATAACCAGCTGTTGGAAGCCGCTCAATGCGCAGTGTGACCAATGGTCATGGGAATCCAGGAAGGCACAGAAACAAGTCCAGCTGTGCTTCTTGATTCTTTGCTAAATATTTTTAAAAATTAAGCTGACTTAAGAGTAAAGAGCAAAAACTAGAAAACCATTGAGTTTTCCTACCCTGGTCCTAAATAAGGAATGAACAGTATTTTTATCTCACCCAGGACCTTGGGAGCAGGAAAGTTTGAGAAACCTAGTGGCAACTGAAATCTATGAAGCTGCACTGGGAAGAAAATGATCCAAGGGCTGTGCTTTGGCCATCAAATCATTGCATAGATCCATAGCTCCAGCTGAAGCTGATGATTCCTCACCAGGTTGTTTTATCAGCCCAGGCAGACTTCAGCAAGCTTTACAGACCAATAACAATAGGCAAACTTGCAGCTTTTTCATGATCAACCACTACAGTGCACCTGGAAGCATTACTGTAGACGTACAGCATGCTGAAAATTATTCCTGGCAAGTAGACAAATAAAAAACAGTAGCAAGTGAACCTCTAATACTGGCCATGGTCACAAATGCATTTTAATTGAGGCAGCAAGCTTTTACTTTACGTTTGCTGATCATTGTATAGATTCTGCTGCCAAGATGCTGAACTGCAGCAATATTGCAGCAGGTAATCACAGCAAGGTCTGGGGCAAAGAGGGATGCTTTTCTGGAAAAAGGTTCAAGTCTCAGAGTGGAATTACAGGGGCCTACATGCAACCATTTCTGAAATAAAGACCTGACTTTCCTGTAAAATAATACTAGTCATACAAGTGCAAATTACCAGAAACACAGCAACTGAAGGAATAACATCACGATGCAGGAAACATTATTAGCAGGAGGCTGCCTTGTAACCAGCATCACATAACCTCCCAGAGGGAAGAAAAGGAAAGAGGTGATCTCCAAATGCTACAGCTTTGGAGAGAGAAAGGAGGTAGAAAGGCAGACAATAACATGGTTGAGCTATCTACCCCCTTGTGAGCATGTCTGTTGCTTGAGGAAATTCTCTATTATGCACTGATTATATGCAAGAGGATTTTGCTTGGAAGTGAAAGGCATGGAAGGATTTTGATAGATGGACATTGTAAAATATTAGTGATAATAAAAGCATTATTTGTTGTCAGTTTAAAGTATGCAGCTTCATTACAAAACTAAATAAATGGCTCCATGATTCAAACAGTAACTAGATAAATATTTTAATCCCTGTTCACTGCCAGTGCTTTTTGTAATCCTTTTATAAATCTCACTTGTAATACATTATATCTGATATAAATTCTGAGCTTTCCTGATACTTCCAGCAATTTGGATTTCAGCTGCCTGTCATGTTCCGCAGGCTACAGCAGCCCTACTGCTGATGTTTTGAAGTCCCCCTCCAGGTGACTTTGTAGCCTGAATCAGCAACAAGGGTTTAACTGTGGCAGAAATATTGCCAAGAATAGGCAACAAACAGGCTTCAGAGACACCTCTTAACTACACTTCAACTGAACACACAAGGCAGCTGTTGGAAAGGTACATTTGCGAACTGTAAGTGCATGAAATGGACTCTAAGAGTTGGCAGTTTCCTAAATAACTTTCTATGGAAAGCATCAGTGGAATTTGAATTACTTTAAAAGAAATGGAGATATGTATACATATATACACATTATTTAAACAAACATCTGTGTGGTTTTTTTTTTTGAGCAAGCGTGCCTACAGTTCCACTTAGGGATAACAGGACATGCCGATGTTTCTAATCCATCACAGCACAAGTAATTGAAGAGTTGCAGTATTTCTCACCGTGTGCTCAAATTATACTGAATAATGAAGAGCTGCAACACTATGCAATAAGGTAAACGTTCCAGAACTGGTATTATCAGTTCCCTTTGCACCCAGATTGAGGCATTTGCTACAGTTATAAAATCTACAAGTTATTCAAACAGCACAGAGCACTTGAAAGGATTTAAAACAGAGTTCCAAACAGCATCAGGTTCTCTATTTGTTCTCAGAAGCAGCAGATTTCCTTAAAAGCCTCCAGCAGATGCATAGTCGGTCTCCTGTACTTTAGGGAGGTGTTTGTGCCTTTCCCAGGCATGAAATAAATAACATTATTTCATTTCTGATACCTGCAGAAACAAGAACTTGGGAGTAGAAAAGGTATCTGAGACCATGAAGACCCTTGGTAAAGAATGGTAGTCCTTGGCCTCTACATAACCTAAGCAGAATGTCACATCACTCATACGAAAGGTCAGAAGCTCCCTTAGCATTTGATTTTTTTGGCTTCAACTCACCCTTCTGCAACTAAAAAGGTTTGCAAAAGTCATTATCTTGGTTGCACACCCACTCTATGCTCAGGACAGCATTTGTTTCCATGATCAAAACTTCTGTTTATTTCATCTGGAAGAAATAGTACTTGCAAGTCATTCGTGTGGGAAATCCACTGCAGGCTCAGGTCATAAATTCATGGTATCTCTGCTCTCCTGTGGACTGAGAAAGATGTCACAAGCATGTCCTGCTTTTGCTTTATAACAAGAAGAAAGTGCATGAGTTTTTCCTGCAGTATATTTCAGACACTATGACACCTGGCTCTTGCTGTTATTGAATACAGAACTATTAAAGCATTTTGAAGCAAGTGGCTGAGCACATGTAATACACTGGTTTTCTAATTTGTTGCCCTAAGTTTATACCCTACAGATGGTTAAAGTCAGATGGATCCAATTCCAGTTTCCCTTGTGATGATAGGAAGCACATCTGCTGCCTAATGCTCAGACACTGGTGCTACTGGAAGTGTCCCTCTGGCACTAATAACCTGTGGATTAGAGACAGAATGAATGCCAAAAAAATACCGTAAAATTAACACTACATTAACAAGTCATCAACAATACCTGTCAAGAACAGAATGTTAATCTCTAATATAACTGCCTGTAAAGATGAAATATTTCAGTTACACAAGAAAAAAAAGAAAATATGGGGAACTTTCTGTCACACTTGGATGCTTCACTTACCACACTGATGAATCAAAATAATTGCCTAGTCTAGCACTTTGAACAACACTAAATACAGTGCTGAATCTATTGATCCTTTACACGAACAGCTCTTTGAACCTAAAGTGAGTGCCTCCCTGCATTTGCTTGCTTCTTGCATTTTAAACTGAGGGAGGGAAACATGACATGCAGATGTAAGAATCTGCCAGGATGGCTGCTTCCCTGTGTGCTTTTTTGTTCATCTTCACCATGGTGAGCGCTTCCACTCAAGTGGGGTTTCTTGGATCATTTCAGTTACCAGTGGTGACCTGCAGAACACCTAGGGAGAGTTTTTGTAAGGTTGGATGAAAAAAAAATAAATAAAAAAATCCAAAATATTTAGTGTTCCCAGGTAAAGAAAGCCTTTAGAGCATCAGTGACCAGCTGCAGACCACCCAGTACTGACTTCCCTCAGCTCAGACCTTTTTTCCCCTAGAAAATACAGCCTCTTAGGATCTTGTCTGTCCAGTTTTTATCAAGTCCTGATGTGTTCCTGCTCTGCTTCAGCCAAATGTCCCAAGCTTTCACATGATTTGGGACCTCACCTCAAGCTCTAGTGAGTCCTGTATTCTCACAGATGTGGTGAGATGCTCATGGTTTCAGTCATTCTAGACCATGAAGAACTCTAGGTATTTTAAATGTTTGAGTAGAGATGTATGCTTCCAAGTACAGATTTTTGATGTATTAGAACCTCAAAAGGAAAAGATGAAAGTAGAAATGACCTCTTAAAAGCTCTGATTTTCCAGGTGAAATTTCCATAGCAAATCACAGAGGGGAGAAAAGGTTATATGTGGAAAACAGATTTTGAGATAGTTAAAAGCTTTTTCTAGTAAACACAGTGAGAAGTAGACAAATTTATGCAAGCTACATTTCAAACTTCACTGGCCAGAGCTAGAGAAATGTAACCTGTCTGTAACAGGGCAAGAGAGCAGTGTATTGATTACATTAACAGGGAAAAACATACAGCTGTACAGACTTTTTCTGAATCTCTGATAAAGGACTTACAATCCAGCCAGATAACGTTCCTGTTTTAATTTTTATCCAGCTCTGAATTTAGTATATCATTCACTCAGAAAGGAAGTTAAAGGATTTCAGACATATGGTTTGATTCATAGAAATAATGAAATTAAAATTAAAAAAATTTAAAAAAGTAAGTTTCCTTTCATGGCTTTGACATCAAATCAAGATTTGACTCTCCTGTGAACACTGTGTATTGGAGATATCTCAGCCAGAAACACTGCCTTTCTCTGAAAACTCAGGTCCATCTGGGCTGTAAAGGAAGATCTGCCATCACAATAAAGTGAAAGCATTGGGCTGTACATCTGACAGTAGACCTTCCACAGAAATCTCCTTTTTTTCCCCTCTTCTTACACATCTTCTGCTACCGCTGGTGCTGCTTGTCCTTTTCAGCTCCCACTCACCAATGCACCTTCACTCACCTTGACCTGGCCACACACCTGCAGCAGCATCACACGGGGCTCAGTTATTATCTGCAGCTCTCAATAACACTGATAGCATCTGTGGCCTCCCGAGCCATTGATTACAGACAGGATGAGTCACCCAGCCTCTGCAGACATGGCTGCTTCAGAATAAGCATGGAGAAATTTAATGTCACAGACCAAAACTGAAAAATCTTTCGATGCGTGAAGCCCAAGGACAAGGAAAAAGGTGGAGAATTACACTGCTGGGAAGAAAGTAAGTGAACATGAGGAATTGTCAACAATATCTGTTCTGCCCCTTGCACACACACACCCACACCCACTCCTTCCCAATAACAACGGCATAACATCAGCTTCTGGGCACTACTCCATGGGATGAGAAAGCTGTGAAAGACTATGCATCACACAAGAAAAATATGTTTTTAACACAATGTGCTAATCTCATCCATCCATTCTGCTCCTGGTGTTCCAGTGATGAGCAGGAGGCCTGCTGGATGTTTAGCTTGGGGGTCCCTTCATAAACTCTCCAGCACAGACTCCTCTTCAGTTCTTCAGGTGGTGGGAATCCACCCAGAAACCTCTCCAGCAGTGGTATTCAACTGTCGTTATGAGCAGATGACCCCAATAGCCTTCCTATGCCTGCCCCCAGCAAAGCACCCACCCCCTGGATAGAGGACAGCAGGGTTACCCAAAGAACACAAGGCCAAAAAAGCCATGGCCAACCCTTCCCTAACACTGGTACATGGCCTGAGACCTCCTCTTCAACTTCTGGTGCTTTGGTGGGTAAGAGGAAGGAACACCATAATAAAAAAAATGCTTGTACAACAACAGCAATCACACTGCACACTCTGCGAGAGCTGCACAGGGCCCCAGTGCTCCTGAGGCATCAGGTTCAATAGCCCCTGCAAAAAGTAATAATGAAAACCCATTCTTTGCAATAACGCAACAGAAAGTGAGGAGACATTTCAATATAAGTAACAGAACCCCTAGGTTAAGGGAGATTAACAGCAAAGAGGTTTATTACGCGTGAATCATTTCCTACTTATTGTCCACAAACGCATTAGAGTGTGCTTTTCTTTTCTTTTTCGTAAGCCAAATGTGTAATTGGCATTATTAGTTTTCTCCTCCTCCTCCTTTAGTTTTTAATTAGAGCATAGAGGGGGGAAATGCATATTTGATATGAAGTAGAACTGGAAAGGGAGAATAATAATTCTGACTGTTTCAATTATTCGGACGCAAACTGAGCCAGATTTTTGTCAGAGCTCAGCCTCCACAGTCAGCACCGGATCTGAGCTGAGGCAAGTACTTGCTGTGCTCTGTGGGGCTGAGGCACTTGGGAGATCCAGCCTTCACCCCAGCACAACTCCACCTTGGTTTGATTGCAGGGCTGGCACACTTACAAACCATTGTCCTCACTTGGAAATTGTGTTTCTAGAAGAAAACTTCCCATCAGCAAAGTTCTGCCTTAGGTTCAGTGTCCCTTTCTTTACAACTTCTTACCACTGGAGATTTCAGCCTTCATGTGCTGAAAGGAACCACTGTCTATTCCCACCTATCTGCCACCTTCAGAGTCGCTGCTTGATGTGAAAGTGATTGCTCACCCCATTGCTTTATTGTGAACCTTCATTTGTCCCTTGCTCTCAGTCCTCTCTCAAGGCTGTATCTCCCAAACAGATCTCCCCCTTGCCTTCCGTGGCTACTACCAGCCTTGCCACAGACACAGCATGTGTTCACCCTAGTCTTTCGTGCCAAACTGAATTGTGGTCACTGGAGCCCATTACAAAATTACACTCACAGACCTTGGGTTAGGTGCTCTCTGCTTCCTTTTTCTTCCACCTCTAGTCTGGGGGGAGGTGAGGGAGGGAGGGAGTTAATATTAGAGCTGAGAAAGCTGCAGTGACCTTTGAAAACTTGTTAAGTTTTCATCATTCAAGAAACACTTAAGGAATGTTTTGTGCAAAAGGCACTTAAGTGTAATTATTGTTTCTGAAGTAGCAGAAATATGTTTCAGGTGGTGTATAGTGTTTGCAAAATACCGTCACATTTGTATCTATGGAAACCACAAGATACACATGCCATATCACCATGACTCCATCAGTTAGTTCCGTATCATCTTACGAGCATAATTACTCCAGTAATTCAAATGTTTAATTCCAGGGTGTTTTCATTCATAGACATGATTTTATGGCACACGCATTTTTCCAAAGCAGATGTTTAACTCACAGTCACTTCCAACCTGATCTCATGGCCACAGGGATTTTGAAAGCTGCGCATCTGCAAAGTCAGTGAGGAACATGTGAGAAGGACTTTGGACCACTCTGATGCTTACTGCAATACAGGAAGACATGTGGCTGGCAGCTCCAGATCTGGAGAAGAAAGTTACAAGTGCAGAGCCTTGTGTAACCTCACCAGCTCCGTTGCTGCTGCCACCATGGAAAGTCAGAAAAGCCTTCACAAGCAGAGAGGAGCATGACCTTCCCACAGCCTCCCACAGGCTCTCCCCTGCCTGTGGAGGCCCAAGTGCTAAGGCATTTCAGAGCGAGGTGTTGGGCTGTGTTCGAGACGTGTACTTGACAAATGAATTGGTCTCAGCTGCGGATTCAGCATGTACACAACCCACTAAGTCACTTCAGGGCCTGTCTCTAATTAAATGTAAGCAAGTATAGACACGGATTAGAGAAACACAGACCTCCAAGGAAGATGAGAACTTGTAGTTCCTTCATGACTTTAAATCTCTCCCTATTTCACAGAAGCCCAAATACCTTGTCAATCCTCTTAAATACAAGCTACAGACTCTCCCAATGCAACACACTTGCAGGAGGTAGTTTATCTCAAGCACGTAATTCATTTTAAATGGTATTCTTTCCCATGACAAGTGCTGCAGCTGTTCCCACTGACCAATACCTGCACACACCATGTCCCACTGGGAAAGTGAATGATGCTCCCCAAAGATGCACTGCCAATTCGGACACCTCCACCCCATACTGCCTTCTGCATCTGCTATTACAAGGACCACTGGGATAGCTCAAACTTTGATGGCAAGAGCCAGAACAACATGTTTATTCCACACTGATGTCAAAATCAGAGAACTCACAAAATATCCCGTTGAACTGGAGGGAAGAGGTAGCAAAGTGCTCAGGGTAACAAAGAATTAAGTTCAGTTACCTCAAGCAGAAAAATTGGATTTTTTTTCTCTTGATTCCTCCCTTGCTACCTGCAAAATTGACAACTCCAGCCAGGGAGCAGCAGGGACAGCTTGCTTTGGCAGAGTAAAGCAACCAGTCATGCTACAGAGGAGAAATTTTGTTGGTGTCCCTATTCCCTGCACACAAGAGGGGAGGCAAAAAGCAACTGTCACCGAAGGCTATACATCTTGCTCACTTCCCTTGCGGTCAGAGTAATGGAGACATACGACTTTAAAAAAAAAATAATAATAGTAAAAAGAAAATGGACGCAGCATACACTGTTCCCTGGAAAACAATAAGTTGCATCATCTGGCTATTAAGTGCAAGCTCCATATGATAGATAATCTTAATGTCAGAGCTTTAGAAAAGGACTTTTTCCTCCAATGCAGTTGCAAGAAAGCACAGAGACAGGATTTCTGCTAATAGTGACAGGATCAGTTCGTTGTGTCCTTCATTTCTAGTTATGACATTAAGATCTGTTTTTTCCTAAAAGTTTCCTGCTTTAAAAAGAAGTAGCCACCCAGACCAGAGTTCTGTTACCTTCCCTAACAACAGCTAACGGCTGAGACTGGTGGGCCTGTGGGAACTTCACATGCTTTTCAGCGATGACATTTAGGGATGCACAAAGCAAACACCAGGAGCACTTTGGTAAACAGAGCTGATTTGTTACACCAAGCCAATGCAGCTAAGCCAGATGAAGGCTACGCTTCAGAAGATGGCATCATCTACCATCCCTTGGGTGTTCATTGTCCCAATCCAATTTAACTCATCCATTTGATTTGTAAATAGACAAAGTCTGCAGAATTTGTAAATTAGGAGTGTTTGCCCAGCAAAAATAAAAGCCCTCACTTTGTACAAAAAATGGCTTAAAAGCATACATGCAAAATATAAAGCAACAGGGAGGACTACCAAAAATAGACATTACTGAGAGACAAGCTGCTTAGAAAGTTAGAATTCTGCAACTTTTCATAGACAAAAAGTCGCTCATCACATCATTAAAGTCTAATGAGTAAGAAGGCAACATCAAAAATGCCAGAGCATTTACACGATCATGATGCATTATTCTTTGAAGACAGCTTTTGATGCTTTTCTAAACAGAATAATTTTTCCGCATAGTATTTGATGTTGACGTGCAAAACACAACCATGACATTAAGAGAACAGTCTCAGCATTAAGAAGAATTCCCCCAATCTGTGACCTCCTGATATTCTCTAGGTAATTTGTGAACACAGAAGGAAACAGATAATTCATTCCCCTGCCCCCCTTTTCTTTAACCACAGACATTCAAGCCTCTATTCTCCCTTCCCAGTAGGGCAGACATTTAAGTGTTGCCTTCCTTATACTGCTTTTATTCAAGGATGTTACAGCACTATCCTATGAGGGGGGGACATTAATACAATTGCCCGCTTTGCAGATTTCCTGTGTGATCTTAGACAAGTCTCAGAGCCTCTCTGGTTTTGCAGGCAAAGTTGAATGGTTCTGAGTGGTTATGATCAGTTTTGCGAGCATTTATTTTGTCAAATGTGGTTTGCAGGAGCTTGCCAATGCATCTGCTGGCTGTATCCCCTGGGGAAATGCTGCATGTGGCACATTCTGATTTGAATGGCAAAGAACGTTGTTTTTTTCCAGTCACAGGATGGACTTCGCAAGGTAGCCTGTGTTCTCCTAGAGCCTCCAAATTGCCTTTGAAGAGGCAGGAATCACATCTAGGTCTCCCAAGCCTGAAAGCACAGCATTAAGCACAGGAAAGGGGTGCTCAGAGACAGAAGTACAGGATTGCTCACAGCCATTCTGCTCAGCATCCCCAGCAGAGTTCTTTTTTGCAAACTGGTGCCAGCCCGTGTGTCCCATCCAGCAAGCATCCTCCCTCATTGTAAGCCCCCAGCCTGCTGCCACTACATGGACAGCCTCTTTCCCATTTGTTAGCTCCTTCTTCAGTTTTCTCCATCATTCTTATTTTAACCTTGCCACTCCTCTGCAATACCTGCCACCTCCTTCCAGAGGCCTCCCATGAAAGGACCCAGATTGCACCTTTTCCAGCCCAGGTCCTGAGCACTAGGTCTCCAAATTCATGCTCCTCTCCAGGGACCATTTCCAGGGCACCCATTTCCAGCTGAGTACCAACATCCCCAGCCCAGACCCAGTTCCCAGGTCTTGCCCCATACCGATGCAAGGGCTCCATCTACCCAGGAGGGATGCTGGCCAGAAAAGCTTCTAGAGGAGCAGGCTGGGGTCCTTGCTGGATGGCTTTCTGTACCTCTTTGGCCTCTGGATGTGGCAACATGCTGGAGACATAAACAGAGATCTCATCCTATACACACAATGACTCAAGAGCTGAAGTTAACCCCATCCATGCTATTAGTGCAGTAGGTATTACATCATCACCACACTGTGATTTGTGGTGAGGACAGTGCTGCATTTGTGTCCTTCAGCATCACAGCAATGTTTTAAGACCCAACTTCACAGAAACCATTGGAGTTGCTTTTTCCAAAGGGCAATTTAAAACTGAATCTGGAGCGTCAGGCCTGGGATCTTTTCATGGATTTCTGCAAAAGAAAACCTGTGTGCTCTTCAAGGGGGCACTAATCCTTGAGGAAGTAACAGTTACCTGTCTTCACACGCTGGCCACATTGCATACTAAGCAAAAGCAAGGAGTAAAGCCCCTGTTGGCTGCTTGAGTTAGAGCTCTGTTTTGTATTTAATCATTCTGTTAAAAGGCAGAGGTACTAAGCACTGTGACAGGCCTCCTCTAGTGAATCTCCCCTCAACACTGTCTCCTCCAGCCCTCCAGCGAGGTCACCCCATGCCTGGAGGCTGTGGCTTATTAGAGCAAAGCCTGCATCCTGCACAGAGGGAGCTGATCGGGTGCACTACAAGTACAGCCATGTGGCTCCCAGCATCTTTGTCAGTGGAGGAGATGGTTGGGGGAGGCAACACTGCAACTATCATCACAGAAATGCTCACAAGTAGAGGATTTTAGCATCATCACTTAAAAAAAATAATAAAAATAAGAAAAAAAAAAATAAAAGTGCACAGTTTCCTTTTTCTAGAATTTACAGCAATGACAAAAAATATCATGGTTACACGTATTAAAAAAAAAAAAAAGTAAGACAAGGCCAAGCACACAGTTCTTTGTTATCTTATTTGAATTTCATTTTGGTCACCTGGAGCTGGTTCAGAAATTGATTGGTTTGGGTTTTTAGGCTTCTTTAGATGACAACAGAAAAGCAACAGACTTCATTAGAAGCCTACGGTAAAGCCACATTTGTTTGGCTTTTGAAGTTAAAGTTTTCATGTCCATTTTTAAAATAAAGTTTCCAAAAATTACCTTCCCCTAAAAAAAAAAGAAGTATTGATTTTTTTTTTTTTCTTTGTATCAGTCATTGCCTCGTTATATTGCTGGGATCAAAATCTGGTATTTTAGTTTTATTATAAGCCACTGGTCTGAAATCTGGAGAAAGGCTCTCCTCACACAAAGGGCCCTGCTGCCTTTGCTCAGAGGTATGGCTGCTACCTGTCTGGCCACACATGGCATAGCCACCACCACCAGTAATCAGGAACTGATTTTCCTGGCCTTGAGGCTCTCCTGAATATTTTGCCAAATATTAGTCTGTTAGGGAGATATTTAGAGAAACACCAGCATATGAAAATAAGTTTACTCTCCAGATCTACTTAACATCCCAGAACATCATGTTACAGGCCAGTGACCTTGTGATGACAGTGCACTCCACTGAAACACCAAGTGCCCCTCACAGAACTTGGTAAATGGCAGCTTGAATTTATTCTGTGCTCATTAGACTAGAGATACAACTTCACTATACACACAGCAAGAAACTCATATCAGCGTCCATAACACAGACATCCCTCTTGCAGTTTACCAGTCTTCTACCAAAGACCACTTAAGATGCTAAAACCTGATCTTGGGGTAGGAGTATGTAGAGCATTCAGAAAGAAAGGAGCAGAATTAAACTGTTTTCCCTTTTGAAAGAAGTCTTGACGTTCCCTGCAAGATCTCCTGCTATTTAACACATTCTTGATGGACCAGAAGAGCAATGAACAGCAAGGCAGCAACCTGTGCAGATGACACTACAATTCAGTGGTTAGTCCAGATCCCCATTCATCTTTATGGGGCTTAGTCCACTGGAATAACCCTTGCTATCAACAATTACAGCTGTATGTGACTGTATGTCACATAAAAGCAGGGAGGAGAACTTCAGACTCTTGGATTTTAGGACTTAATACTTGAGAAGTGGTGAATTAAGTCTCTCCAGGTCTGTTCTAAAAAAAAAAAAATAAATAAATAAAAATAAAAATAAAAATAAAAATGAGTAAAACAAAATAAGAACTACAGATTGCACTTAGAAGGTTTCCTGTACTCTATACAGTCTTCTTAGAAAGCCCTGATGACATTCACACAAATGTATTTCTCTACCTTAAGCTTCTTAATACATCAGTTAAGAGGAAAAAATACACACTAGTAAAATATATTCATACATTAAATATGATGAAATACAAAGCACGTATGAGATAACTGTGAAATATTTATTTTCTTGTAAATACTTTCTCCATTAGGATTCTGGCTTGATGCTTTGTATAAGATGCAATTTTGCCTGCAAGGTACAGCCAGTAGAAAATGGCAAACAATTTTTCTCTCAGTTAAGAGGATGACAATGATGCCCAATACATCAATGAAATTTCAGTCTGTGTTAGCATCACTGATGGAACAGGAAATTGGATTCCACTGTCTAATCCATTGTTAATGATTTCACTTCATAAATACACTTAGTCTTCATTATAACTTCTTGTTGTTGGGTATAGTTAAAGATTTGGGGCAAATATTCTTGGAAGAATCAATTATCAGCAAGGCATGTCCTAGTATTTTGATTTATGGATTTTTCACCAGCAAGAGACCTTGAACCCAGGTTTGGCTAGAAGGTATAGAATGAGTGCCATTGCTTCAGCCTCATGGTAGAAAACAAGATGTGCTTTCATAGGCTGAAATCACACTACAGGAAGGGCACAGTGTACTGCAATTTCATAGAGCAGGAACTCTGGATTAGCTCCATTAGTTCCACATGGTGTGAGGAAGGAACGCACCACCACCTCCTAACAGTGGTGTGCTACTGAGCAAATCCATCACACCAGGAACCTGTGCCAGCAGGACAGGAGTGACAGCATGATACCATAGCATAGATGCAGCTAGATGTAGGATATTAATCTTCTCTGGTATTCTTCCCTTGTTCCATCCTGAAGGCCTCTGTTCCTGTTCTTCATCTCAAATGTTCAGGCTGTTGAAGTTTGTTACAGTAATAAGTTCTGCAAATGTGCTTAGAGTTACACTTTGGACATATGTTAAATAGGAGGGTGTCTGAGCAGTGAGTCAGGACCTTGCCACACTTCCCACCAAACATCACACCATATTTCTCCCTACTGTACTGTCTTAACAGTCTGTCATCCTTTCACAGCCATGAAGTCCCAGCTCCTCTAAATCACAGAGGCAAGGTCTTTATATGGCCAACATCTCCCTGAAGAGTGAATCACCTGGAACACAAGCCTGAGAGAAATGCAAGACTCAAGTTCTCTGTGTGGGAAGATGGGAGAAAAGCAGCACCAAAGACACAGACATTTTGGTAACTAGTAAGTTCAGTACCGGGTGAAAAATAAGACAGCCCAGAAATAGGGTTTATAAACAAATATTGACCTTAAAAAATTACAGCTTCACTCTGGTCAGAGCAAAGAAGTTTGAAAGCCTCTGGGGTTTGCACTGGCTCTAGCCAAGAATAAAGCTCTATGCTAGAAGGAAAGAGTAAGTAATATATTTTGTGCTTGAAAATACTGCATTATAAAGTTTCATGTTTCCTACCAAGCTCCATGGGGGAGTTTTAGTATTATGCATTACTTGAATTTTTGAATGATTCAAGTAAATACATCACAAATAGCAAAGGAAATGTGTTTCAATAACACAGGTGTCCACATGAATATATGCATGAATCCTGGCACATATTTTTATTTTGCTAAGAATTGAAAAGTTGCCCTCTGGCATTTCTCATCGCTGTTTGCTGTAAATCTCAAATGAGAATGCAAACAGGAAAGGACACAAAATTCATTGGTAATCCTGAAGAAACACTGCATCAGCCCAAAAGGCTCAGATTACTCAAAGCTGCCTGATGTATCCATATGGCAATAATTAAAACAGCGGCTGGACACCCTGTAATACTGGAGTGCCATTCAAACTGGACATCCCAGGCAGGGACAAGCTACCAAAGACACTACATTCATTAAATTTAATCCCCACATTCTCCCCATCACTACAACCCTCCCCTGCCTTAGGTGGGATAACATGGACAAGAAGAGACTCTCTCTTCTTTTCTCAGTCCCTCTCAACACAACAGCCTGTGAGCTGCAAAGTCTGCAGGTCAGGGCTGTATACGTTCATTTTTGTCTCCTGCACTAGTTGCTCCCTGCATTAAGGGTTTTTTTGCTCTGGATGGGTCTTTGATTTGCTTCTTTAAACAATCCTTGTATTGTGTTTGCATATATTAAACAGAACATATAGCACAGAGTGAGGGAAATGGATGCTATTTTTAAAAATAACTTAATGGCTAGACTATTCATTTGATGACTCAGAAAGAAGCAGCAAGTTTTACCCAAAGAATATCAAATGCTCTGATCATAAGACAGCATCTGGATTTCCCATGGAAATATTGATCTGATGGGAATGTCAGTGGCCAAGAGACAATGCTGTAAACACAACTTTACTTTCAGTCCAATTTCAGCTCCATGGAGCAGAGGAATCCTAGATAACAAACCATTTGCCAGAAACCTACTCTCCATCCACCAGAAGGATAGTAATCCTTTGCCTTTATGACATTCAGTCTTGTTTGGCAATTTGCTACTCAGCCTAACATTTACAATAATATCAGTAGTCTAAGAAGGAGCACATTTGTTTGAGCAATGGTGATGACATTTCCCCCCCTTACTTTTACTGAAACAGTCTAGTAGCCTGTTTTAATTTGTGAGCAAATCAAAGTGATGTTCATGCTACCTGTATTCCAGCCTTGAAATCTGTTCATTTAGGTGGCATTTCCACTGGTCCAAACATGGATCAAAGAGTAGGAAATAAAACAAGCACTTACTCAACAATACCTTGTACATCCATCCTGAACTGTAATGGTGACTCAATGCAAATGGTGTGAAAGGAAATGAGACAACAAAATTTGAAAGTTTTAAAGACAGATACTGTTTTCACTGCAAACCATGGACTTTTAACCACAAACAGCCATGAAATTCCCAATTTCTTGAGGTATCAGGCCAGAGCTAAAGGTCTCTTGAGATATACATGTAAACTAGTCTTGTTACATGTATTTTACTTTCCTATCTCCTTCCCAGCTATTAGCTCCTCAGGCAGTGATATTTGCTCAGATTAGTTTTCAAACAACAAAGAACAGACGTGCTCTCTTCCCCCCTTAGCTGGGCAGCCACAGCTCCCAGGTCACAGCCACCTCTATACCCTGCAGCAGGGAGTTGTGCCTAGAATGAAGAAAATCTTTTTCTACAGATACAACAAAGTAAACACTCAGAGATTTAAAAAAAAATAAAAGTTTCTGTTTCTGCTTGTCTTCTACAAGGCTGCTATTGCTCTGTTCTCTCTGCAGAATTGATGCTTTCCTCAGAGCACTGCATCTCTTTAAGAAGAAATACTAGCATTTATAGCTCTTGCATACTCTATGTAACCCCCTTCCACCTAGCTGCTCATGGAACAGACATACCACTAGGTTGGCATCCCATAATTGCCAGGGTTCTGTTACCTCTGCAAGCTGACCTCCAGATTGAATCTGTCCATTGAGATCCCAGCAGCATCTGCACATAACAACACAGGTGATTAATAGACAACAACACCCTCACCACTGCTTCTAAGATTTAAAAAATAAAAAGCTACCTCAGGTTATATATTTATATATGCTTCTTCCTTTTGGCCATTTTGGCCTAAACAAGCTCATTAACTTAATCAGCAGCCTCTGTAAACCCAGCCCATTCTAATTGAAAGTGATCAGAAGCAGCAGCACATGTGGAGTGTGAGGAAATAAAAGTAACGATGAAGAGATGACTGCGAGCAGCAAGGGGCTAGAAGAGGCCAAGTTAAGCAGATCTGAAGTGAAAAGCTTGCAGAAACAGGCAAAGCAGAGAGACCTCCCTAAAGCATAAGCATCGTGAGACAGAACTGCTACCAGACAGTGCCATGGACTGGCAGCAGCAAAAGCACAAAAGTGTTATGCCTGATCAGAAAGACAGAAAGCTGTCTTTTTTCTTTTTTTTTTAAATGTATAAACTTTTTTCCCTATACAGTAGCGTCTCTGACTCAAGCAGGGAATTTGTGTGGCCACTTCTCTAGCACATGCAGCACTGGTATGAGTTGCTCCTTTACTCCCAGCACAGGCAGGGGAGCCTGAAGGGCCACAGAGAGTGCCTGTGGGAAGGGAGCCTGGAGATCTTATCAAGCAGCAAAGATCTACACAAACAATTTAGTACTAGTTCAAACATCTCATTAATTTAATTTATATGGAAAAGCTGTCAGCCTTAATTTTAGTTAAATACTGAACCACAGGTGAACCTTGTGCCTGTGAAAACTGCAAAGAGAAAAGCTCCACATTTTGTCAATCGACAACGCCATGGCCTTATTAACCCTTGCCAGAAAGGCAGTAGAAAGCCAGCACAATAACTTCCTGGGAAGCCCAGGACTTTTCTAGGCAGTACCACATCTGAAAGCTATGTGTTTGCAGCAGAAACATAGCAGCTGTGTTTCTGTGATAACATGGACTGTGAACAGACCCAAAAGCAAAGCAGCCGCAGCTGAAAGATGAAAGCTGCTCTCCCTGCACTGGCTGCAGGAGCGGCTCTGCTGCATACAGCATTTGCACCTTGCAGATTCTCCAGTTTCTCCTTCGTGCCTAAGATCTGTTAGCTTGTAACTAGGGCACAGGTGTGATAATAGGAGCTTTGACACCAACTGCTCTGCCCTGTTAAATTCCTTGCCTCTGTATATATTTTTGATGGGCTTGGAGTGAAGGCTGCCTTTTTTTATTTTTCTGCTTGCTTAATGAGAGCACTGAGCATTGTCCAACTAGAACTTCCCAATTCTCCCAAAGACAGAGAGCACAAGCACTAACTGAAAAGCCACCTGCTGCTATGAGTAGGTGAGATAGGCCCTCAAGCACTTCTCCCTCCAACAAGCTCTTGCCAAAATTCACAGCATGCCAGCCACATCCCTCACTTCAGATTTAGTTTCCTCAGGTCACCCACTGAAAAATGTGATGCCAAAGCTGAACCTGACTAGGAAGGACTAGAAATAAACACACCATAAAAGCACCTTCCCAGGGCAAAGCTCCTTTCCCCAGGCTGGGAAGCAGGTGAGCACCCTCTGGGATTATACTGGGAAGGATGCTGCACGCTGACTCCTGCCTGGGCAGGCTGCTGGTGCCAGGGTGCTGCAAGCTTATGAATTCCTGTGTGTGCTCCCACTCCCTGGTTCATTTTGGGTAAACCACCTGGAACACAACCCCATCTGCCACCTGCTGTTCCAGTGCAAGCTGCCCATGCACCAGCAATGCACCAAAAACACTACTCCAAGACATCATGGAGGCATCACCTTTTCTTTGGGTTCATGTTAAGTCTCAGCTTTGAAAGCAAGGAATAAATCCAGTTCTTCAAAAGCACCCTGATGGCTCTGATCAGAAGCTCCCCCCAGCTTCATGCAAGTGAGAAATGAGCACAAGCAGAAGGGAAAGAGCACAGTGCACCCTGCCCACCTGTCTCATGCTTCTCCTCTGCTACAGTCCTGCCAGCTTGTATGTTGAATATTGGTTGCAATATTCCCCCTAGAGCGGTGCATAAAATCTCTCTCTGTAGTTCAGCTGTACATGTTTTTCACATCCTCCTTACTCGGTGCTTTGTTTTAAGAGTGCATCCTCCACAGTAATTTCATAGGTTTCTATTCCTAGCTTCAGGAGAGGGAAGGGAGAATCTAATAATATTGATGAATAACCAAGCTGCTGCTAAGAAGTCTGCCTTTTCTTTTATTTAAAAAATACCTGCTAGGAGAAGTAAAAAAGATGTGTCATTTTAGGGTAACTGATAAATTAGGGGGCATCCTCCCAGGCATATTGTCAACATCAGAGAAAGAAAACATAGGACTGTAACTTCAAAGAGCATGGACAGTCTAGAAAAGAGATCACTTCATAAGAGCTGACACCTTGAAAGGTGAATTCTGTTGAAAAGCACATTTGGGTTTATTTTCCTTTGAACAAACACCCACCCATTTCCTGCTATTGTCTTAACTTGTTGAGATCCATTCACCAAAGTCTATCTGATTAAACAGTGCTGGTAAGATGAGGATTGCAATGACTTTGGGGCTGGTTGGCATGTGTCTTTCCATGTGGTTCTTTCTTGTGGCAGAGCCGTCCCTTTGGAGTACACAGTCCCACCCGGCCCAAACTGCTCAGCAATAAGCCAACTTGTGTGCAGACTCAAGTTAATCACTAAAATTGGTTTGCAGAAAATCACTCTGAAACTACAGGGGACCAGATAAAATGGCAGTAGAAGAAAACAGCTGCTCAAAGAGATGTCATCAGAGTTCACGTGAAGGGAAAATAAATAAATAAATAAAAAGAGGAAAAAATTATTAAATTGTAACAGATACCTTTGGGGTAACTGTACAGCTGCTTCTTTATTATCTCCAGGAGCATCATTCATCGCTTAGCAGCAGGGATACAAAGGTAACAAAACAAGTCACTGGGGTTTTGACAAAACACATTGATCAAGTTGTAGGTGCAGGGAACTCAGAGACATGCAGTAGTGGGGCCCTGTGCTCCATCTGCCCACCCTGAGCCCCAGAGCCCTGGGGTGCTCTCCATGCTCTCCAGCACATCATGCTAGCACTGCAGCTTTTTTGCACCAGCTCTTTCCCTAAAGGTATTGTCTCATGTTTGGGATGACCAATAATAATAACCCCCAGGAATTTAGACTGGCATAAGGCAGCTGATGCAAGAACTAACAGTCCGGTTTCTCATACATGCACGTGCCTGGAGACATGATTAATGAGGAAAATTAACAAATTGGAAACTCCAAATTAAAAAAATAAAATAAAAATAAAATAAAATCTTGTATTTCTAATAAATAATCCTCCCCACTGCTAAATGAAAGGAAACTGACCATCCACAAACCACCCCCTTGATATCTGGGACTGTCGCATTCTGGCATAACCAGGAGTATGGTGTACATGTGTTCAGCAGATGGGCATTTACTGCCCTGGGCTATGGGAGCTCTTTAAGCCCTCTCAGCTGATGCTGCTGGACCAGAAACACTGCTTTCACACTGTTGTCTAGCTAGGCAAGAATCCTCAGTGCTGCTTTTCACTGCTTTCACAGTTATTTTAAGCTCTTCACAAAACCACAAGAAACTTTCTGAATTAGGCATGGAGAAGCTTTGCTAAGTTGGAGAAAATATTAAGTCAAGAAAAAAGAAAAAGGAAAGGAAAAAAAAAAAAAAAGGATGAACATTGGCAATAAAGGTAGAAAAAAAGACTGAGAAAAACTCAGGTGTGCTAATAAACCCATGGCTTCCTGAAGAAGAGCTGACAGAGCCATCTACCGCTCACCGGGCTCTGCAGCACTGCAGCCACATCTGCGTGGAGCCCAGGTCCAGCACAGCCCACTCTGGTCCTAGCTGCCAGCAAAGGAAACTGTGGAAGCATCTTCCCGATGGAGTTTGTTGTTATAACTATTACTTTGTAACATCAAGGCAAATAAGGAAAAATACTCTGTGGCATAAAGGAAAGAACAAGAGGCCTATAAATAATACATAAAAACAAGAGACTGATATTTCTTGTATCTGTTTAAAATAACTTTAGCATGGGTATAAAATACCATAAATATCAAAGCCTCAGTACAGCCTGTATATGACAAGTCACAGACTAGTCAGAATACACTTTCTGAGATCTGAATCATGGCCACTTATCTATTCACTTATTGGAAGGGGGAGGGGGGATTAATAGCATCTCTCAGCAGAAAGTTATTTCTAGTCTTCTACTTTGCAAAGGGAACTGTCATTTCATTATTTTGGTGGGTGTAATGGCACATGCTGTACCAACCATATGCAATCAGAGAATTAAATGCTGGCTCAGATCTGAAGACATAATGAGATACACACATTTTTTTAATGAGAAAAATGATTGAAAATAAAACCCAGTACAGTGCTAAACACAGATGTCTCCAGCATTATGAAACTTTCTGGAAATGAAGATTCTAAGTTGCCTTTGTTGCAAGTGCTTGAGACTCAACTGCAATTTGCCATTTTTACCTTTTTTTTTTTTTTCAAAAACAACTTTGTACAAGGTGCATGGTGCACTTTCAACAGGCCACTCATTGCTAGTCATGAACTGGTGAGGCAAACATGATAAAATCTTCCTGTGACATTGGTGACTTGTCATATAATTGGTTTGGTTTGTTTCTTTTTTATTATTTTTTTTCTTTATCTACCATGCAAAGAGAAATCTGGGACCCTAAGGAGATTAGAGTTCTTTCTTGTCAAGGGAGGGCTTACAGTTGTAGAGATGGTATCCTCAAGTGCTCCTGACTGGCCACATGAATCCAAATTCATTTAGAGACCTCCATCAGACACAGCCCTGACTTCCATGCAAACTTGTTCCTGGACATGTTCCCTGGCTGATGAGGGAGGATGCAATGGGAGTCAGCAGGCAGAAGTCTTGCTGCCAGCTTTCACCGTACCTCTGCCCTACTCTGCCTCAGCATCCCCAGCTGGAAAATGGGCACAGCTCCAGTGGTCCTACATCACTGGGTAAAAAGCTCTACAGAAGTGGTGAATGCTAGACACCATCTCTACATGTGATTTCAGTTAAGCGAATGGGTCATTCAGACCATCTTCCAACAGGCATATAACTTCTTCATCCCCTCCTCTCCCCTTCCAAATACTGTGTGCTCTTCTATCAGTGTGACAGCCCCTCTCCAATCTGTGGAAAATTCCTGCCCATTGATCACTTTGGTGGATTCTGCCTTGCTCTGCCATCAAGGTTACCCCATCCTGGAAGCTCGCTTTATGTCTGATTGTCGAAATGGGAAGAGAGAAGCAGAGAATCAAGGAGGAAAAGCGAAACCCAGCAGGCACTTACCGCACTTAGGGGCGGGCAGGGGCTTCGTGGCTGTGCCAGCAGCACAAGCTCATAAAGCCCAAGGGCAGAACATGCTGTTCTCTCCAGTGCCCGCAGCACACGCAGGGATTGATCCGTTTGTGTAACATGGAGCCCAGCAGCAGCCACTCCAGCCCAGGCGCACGTCACCAACAGCAGCTGGTACAAACAGCTTCCTTCCAAATCCATTGCTCTAAGAGCATCTGGAGACCAATGCCAGCTACAAAGGCTCCCTTTCCACAAGAGCATTTCATTTTGTTTGTCACTTGTCTCCCAAAACCATGTTATCTTGCCTTTGTTTTTGGAGAAGAAGGGTACTAAAAAAATATATTCTGTCACTTTCATTAGGGCAGAGAGGAAATGCAACAGTGCTTATTGTTGACTCCAGAACTCTGATTTTTTAGCTACTCATAAAATTTTACCACTTCGAAGTGATCCCTGGAGGACTGTTTATTAGAGTCTGAACTCATCTCTGACTGAAACTGGCTCTGTCTTGCTACCATGAGCCACATGTGGTTTCAAAGTGCCTCTGATAGCAGTCTCCAGAACAATGTAATCCATAAGTTTACATTAAATATTTATACAACACTACTTTGTACTCTTCTTGGTTTAATTGGTCTTTGAAATTCATCAAAATCTATTAGCAAAGTTCAATACTTAACATTGTTGGTATCATTTAGTATGAATGCTCTGCTAAACAAACAGGTCTGTCTGCATAGGCCATCTTCTGGGAGCAAAAGGGCAAAATCCTGTTTTTGCTCATGTCAGTCGAAAGGAGAACTGGGAGCAGAATCAGATTTTGGAGTTGAGATCAAATCAGTACACTAAATCCAGGCAAGAATACAGTTTTTCACAAATTCAATAGGTAAAGATCAAATCGGTACACTAAATCCAGGCAGGAATACAGTTTTTCACAAATTCAATTGGTAGAAGGACAAATGCAGTTTCCAAGGAGGACAAAGGTCTTTCTGGCAGACAGAAGGACCTTTTTTCCAGAAAACTCATGAAATTTCAATGAAATAAAGATTTTTAAAAGCCATACTATAAAATATCCCAATTAAAATGGAAGGAAAGTGTTAGAAGTTAAAACTTTGCAATACAGTCAGAACTGGTGTTTGGCTTTGTTGGTCTGAGTTTAAATGAAAACAGCACAAGATATTTTGTCAACTCCAAAACATTTTGCAGATTTACAGTTTCAATAAAAACACTGTTGTAGACAGAAAGCTTCCCTTTCGATCTAGAATAATCTCATTGTCTCTAGTGGACACAGACATTACTAGAAATGGGAGGTGGACTGACTGCTGTCTCCCCCACAGGTGAAAGTGTCATTTACAATTGAGATATTTGTCAGGTGGAAAAACAGAAGCAGACTCTAATACTCCTGCTGGAGAACCTGCAGAAAGGGGGAAAAGTGCATCAACAAGGCCAGAGGCATTTGGAAAAGTGGAGACAGATGATTCCAGAAATATCTAGCAAGTTCAGGCTCAATTTGTTTCCACAAAAGGTCCTCCGGTCCATTGTCCAAGTAGCATCATACTGAAAAATTCCTAAAAAGAAATCTGAAAGAGAAAATTCAGACTTATGTTAGTTCCTTAAAGCACCTGTCTGCCATGTGAAATTGATGAAAATTAGCAGTTATTTCTTTCAACCAAAAACCTAGATCAAGAGCTAACATTTAATTTCTCGTTTGTGCCACATCTGTTAAGTTTTAACAGCTAAACAGTATAAATGAAGGGCTGGAGGTGTCCTGCTCTGCAGGGAAGATGCCTTCAGCCCTGGCAGGTTCCCAACCTGAGGCAGCAAGCTGTGTCCAGGTTCCTGTAGCAGCTGAATAAAGCCCAGCTGTGGACTCAATTTCTGCACTTCTTGGCATGGCATTTGGTTCCTCACATCACACATAGAAGGCTCATTTTCAAGGTTCGCACTACAGAGGGCCATGACAGCCACCCCATGGTGCTCTCTACAATGTAATAGCATCAGCAGCTCTCTGCGGATGGAGCTCTCAGTGGGTTGAAATAATTCCCTGTCTCTCTGGATTTATACATTCCTGTACTCACATACTTTTAAAGCAGGTCAATACTAAAGCAGAAAGTTAAAATACCTAGAAGTTTTTTTGCAAAATCCTATTAGAAGTCATTAAAATATTTATGTATTGGGTGTAAGTTTTCCCAAGGGGCTCTCTTTTACAAAGTTATAACACTATGTGTGGATCACAGCAGAATCTAGTCCATTAATTGCTTTCAGACCCATTTATGATTACAATATTTCAAAATTGACAGCAAGGTAAAAAAGAAAAGGATTAACTCAGAATGAAAAGACATTTCTACTCAGACATCCAGGCAATTACTATTTATTGAGTCTAACTTGTAGCAGAGGAAAAAGCAAATTTTGAGTAATACAAGGTCCAAGTGCCATCTTGTGGATCAACATGCACCGCACAGGAGATTGCATGGATACAGATGGGATTTAGGAGTTGGTCAGAGACAGGATGTATTTGTATGCTGTAGGCATAGTTATTGGCATTAAAAGAAATCACTTCATTGTTATTAGGCATGTGCTCTCTTTAGAAGACTACAGACATTGCCTTCAAGATTTACAGTCACCCTATCGGTCTGACTCCCACAAGAAGTCCATAAAACTTTTACCATCCGATTCTTGCATCACAGCCATAAATTCTGACTTTGTTTTATCTCAGACAACAAAAACTAAGCACTGAATGCAAAGCCATGCTGAAGCTCCTGCTGTACCACGGGGAGCATTTGAATGTCTGGGGTTATGCAGAACCAATATCACAGTCCTGGGCTGTGATCTCCAAATACAGGCCAGCCTCTCCAACAAATAGCCAGAGTTTCTCCCCTTGCATTGCACCCCAAGATAAGTTCTCATTACATGAGTGGTCCTTCTCCTCTTACCTCTCCATCTCATTGGTTTAAAAATCTGTCATAAAGTGCTCAGTGCAGGTGCAGCACCAGATCTCTGGCACTCTGGAGATGAATTCACTCTTGCTGAAAAAGCTGCTGGTTGCTCAGTGGTGCCAGACCAATAACCCAATTGCTTTGCGAAAGTGATCACGCTATTGTAGAGTAAAATTCTCAGGGTTAGCAGAATAAACACCTGAAATTAGATTGTCTCACTTTTCAACGTTAGCAATAGTCACGTTAGCAAAAAAAAAAAAATCTGCTGATAGCTGAGAAAAGCCAAAAGTCACTCCAATTAAAACATTTCTATTGAACTCTTTCCTGTACCCTTGGCCCCCAAAAGAGATAGTAAAGTAGAAACTAACTGTGGAGGGTTTATTCCTCCCTTATTTTGTGCTTATTTTCCAGAAGCAGATGCCTTCTCCTTGGAGGACTCCTGCAGTCTGTCTCCTGCCTGAATCCAGTAGCCATCAGCAACCCTGGGGAGTGAGATGAGTTTTGCAGTGCTGTGCAAGATGAGATTACACATGAACAATAGGGCAACTGAATGCAGGTTTATCCAACCAGGAGGAAAAATGATGCAGTTTTAACTTACTACGAATTCATACCTTTCTCTTTTGCTCATTTGCCTGTTATTATTTTTCCTTAATTTCTCCCCACTACACCCATTGCAGTAGCCAGAGGATAGCACAGAATTCTTCAGGAGACAGTTAAAGGGCAAAACCTACACAACAGCTACTCTAGATAAAGAGAGTGGAATTTGGGAGTAGGTCCAAAATCCTATTCTGGTGCTGTCCTAGGAGGAAAGGTCAGGCCAGACATCCCTCATGGCCTGCAATCTTTATTCACAGCCCTGAGGCCGCTGCCTGAGTGTAGAGAGAGAGGATTCAATCAATTTTTCTGATAGAGCTTTAAACAAGAGATTCTATTAAGAGGCATGAGAATAAGGTCTCAAATGATTTCCAGCCTGATCCCCCAAGCACACCGCATGAGCCACACATTTAACACATCAGCTCTGTGGTTATCCCTCCCTGCAGAGCAACACCAGCTGCTCTGCCATGCCACAGGTACACCACAGACCAATTCTGCCTGATCACTCCATATCCAAAGCCTTTCCTTCATGAAATGGACTAGAGGTGTTCTTAAAACCATGGTTATCTTGAACTTGCAAGATAGCAAAGGAATAAATAATTAAAAACTTGGGGAAAATGTCCATTTAGATTAATGCTAGGCTGAAAATAGTGCTTCTCTCCAATTCACTATATGACTATTATAACATTCAGTCTATTTTAATGGAGTGATATTCCAGCTATGTGAAGTTTCTCAGAGAGAAATGTACTTATCCATCACCCACTTTCTACTCCATTTATCTGTAATGTAGAAGATTACTTTAAAAATATCTTTCTTTGGAAGACATGTACACAAGTCATCTCTCTTTGCTAACTTTTGAGAGATATATTGTGATGACAAACACAAGACCATCAACAGAGAAAGAGAAAAAAGGTGACCTGTCTATTGATACAGATAAATCAGACTGGGAAAGGATCCAAGGAGAAACACAGAGGAGCTTTCAAAACAGCTCAGTAAGACTTCCCATTTCTTTCTTCAGAGATGGAGGTTAAGACAGCCCAGGCTGGAGAAGTGATTCAGCTGAGAGTCTCCAAGGCAATGAGAAGAGAGCTGAAGGGTTCCAGAAGAGAGCTGAAGGGTTCCACAAACATCTGATGGCTCCTGCATGAAGGTGTGGGCAGGCACAAGCACCATTCCTCCCTCTGTCCTCCCATGGCCAAAGGCAGCATCACCAGAGGTTTACAGCCTGTGGCCATCTGTGACAGAGCACATCTGCTCTTTCTCCACACACAGCATTTCAGGTCTTCCTCTCTGAGGGAATTATGTCTATATACTACCCTGGTAAAGAAAACAGTTGGCATTCTTCCTTCACCAGGTGACCCAAGAGTATACCTATAAATATTTATTTATTTATATAAGCATACCTATAGATGTATTTTGTAATTTTATATTGTCTCCCTGGAAACCTCCACAGCAGCACCAACTTCAAAAAAACTTTCTGACCACTCAAGGTAAACATTGTAGTCCCTGCTAAACAGCTCCTCATCTTGCTTTTGGGACAGTAATTTAAGAGTTGTCTTGCTGGATTTTTGCTCTCCCAAATAAGCCCCTTCCTACTGCAAAGCCTCTTCTGAAGGGAAGATGCTCTTGGACCAGCGTGCTCAGTTTTCAGGGCAGCCCAAGGACTAAGTCTACAGTTCTACTGCAGACTAACTCAGGATTATCCTACAGCACACTGAAATGTTTTTATCCATCTTTTGCCTCCTTCCTGGGTCAGAAGAGGAAGAGCATCACTGCAAGCTCAGGCCACAGGGAAGGATGTGTCTCACAGGTTGATGTTTTACGAAGGTAGCCCTTTGCTTCTGGGAAATAACTGTAGTAAATTAGCACCTCGTTGGCTGTGCGCCAGCAGCATTCACGGGGCCCCAGAAGGCCCCGCTTTCCCCATGCCCTGTGCTTCCCCTTTCCTGTTTGGTCTGGACAGTCACTTAACAGGATTTTCAGACACAGCTCCAGCACGGCCCTGTGGGTGCAAGGCCAGGCTGCAAGGGCAATTACACCACCTGAACTGCACCATTTACTCCATAACTGCAGAAGAGCATTAATGTCTACAACTAGTTGATCACTGTGCTCAATGAGAACAATTTTCACAGGTATGGTTACAAGTCACATTCCAGGAGGAAATGAGACCACAGAAGTCCTCATGTGAGTTTTGCTGGCAGTATACTACATACATACTGCTATAGGAAAGTGAGAGTAGGACTCCCTCTGGCACAGGCAGCCTGTCCTTAGCCAGAGGTTTGCACCATTTTCAGGGCTCACCTAGGAAGGAAGGAGAGACATTTCATTGTGTTTCAAAACTTGATCGAGACTGCCACCTACTAACAAGCAGTTGAAATGACCAAACTTGTGCTGGGTATAAGACAGAAAAAGTATAACACAAGCAGGAAGAAGGGTAGAAGAACTGAACTTGTAAAAGTGTTTAAAAGGGAAAAGCATATTTCTTTCTGGATGTGATAGTGAGGCAGGTCACACTCCTCCCAGGGTACGGACAGTTTTCTGTGGCTGAATCAATAGCTCCCAGCACGTAATTCACACTTGGCTGATTATTCAATTATTTTTTCTTTTCTTTCCATTTATGAAATGCCCACAAGTGCATCACGGTTTCCTAGAAGAAGCCATCTGAAATGGTTTGGCACTTTGGGAGAAGCGCCTGCACTCAGCAACTGTGGCGCTGAAGCTGTAGAGACCTGTGATGAGCCACATGGTGTTCATTCCCAGACCATGACGGAGAAGGAAGCAGAAATGATTTACTGGTGTAACAGGCATCCCAGTCCTGCCTGCGGCTTCAGACATGACCTCAAGAACCTTATGATCTCAGTGAATATATTTGTTCAAATGCTCTGGGAAAGCAAAAAGGAGTTCCTGAAGGTACAGAGATATAAAGGCCACATCAGCTGTTCCAAAGCTGTTGACTTTTCTTGAGTCCAGAATTTGTGACCTACTTTCTCCAGCACAGGTGGGATATTTGGAGAGCCAGCTAACACTATCATGTCCATCCCAGAAGACTGCTTGAGTGTGAACATTACCCAAGGCTCGCCACGCTAACAAAGAACCAGAAATCTGTGCCCATTTCAAGATTTTGGAGTCTTCCTACAAGGAAGAATACATTTTTTCCCCCTTTTGGTTGGTCCAAGAACAATCAACCCATAAATCAAACCATAGAGATTAGGCAATGGATGAATCACCTCCTGTACTCTCAAAAAGCAAAGTATTCCAGCTTCCCCTGGCAACAGTAACTGGCTTTGCAGACAGAAGGAAAATTTTCATCAATTTTTTTGTGATTTTTCTTTCTGTCTTCTGACCAGAAGATGTGGAACAGTTGAAAAAATTGTGGAAACTGTTTAAAATATGTATTTCAATTAAAACCAAAGGAGGGTAAGGGGAAATTCCCAAAATTTTATTTTAGTTCTAGATATGATTCCCTGCTGATGGGTATAGCTCCTTATCACATATCCTAATAGTCCCCTTAGGGAGGAAAATATTCCCCTTCCGTCTCTTTCAGTAGAAATTATGTACATTGCTTGGTATTAACACCTTAAATAGTTTTTTGGGGGTCTAAATGCAAGTTTTACTGTTAAAAAAAAAAAAAAAAAAAAAAAAAAGGCAATTTGATGCTTCCTGGAAAGGAGTTTCCCCACAGGAGAAATCAGTGCAGAGCTCCAGAGCCCAAGTTCCCAACCACCTTACCTTTCACCATGGTTATCTGGAAACAAAGAACTTTTCTTATAAATAAAAGATGTAGCTTTAGCATTTAGTGTTCAGCCTATCTTTTTATTTTTCCTTACAATGGTGAGCAGTCTAAATTAACAATTATATCCTTTAAATACAACACATGCATTGTATAGTTATACACATGCTGTTATACATTATACACACAGTAAGAGAGTAAGAGCCAGGTATCATTAATCTTAAATATTTATATCTTCCTGGAACAACTAGTTGACAGCTGCTAAGCTACTGGCAAACTGTCTGCCTTAAGTATTTTTCCCCTTTCTTTTGGCACCCTGCCCCTGGCTTGGTTTCAACTACACATTGCAGAGACCATTCAGAACAATAACTACACACTGGCTCGTAAAGTAAGCCATGGAGTACATTCCCCTTCCAATCACGCCTGCAGCTCATTAACAATAATGTGACTTGCACACATTTGCATGGATGGGGGAAATCAGCTCTGCTGTGGATCAAATGACTTTCCTGCTCTTGCTGCAGCCCCCCCAGCACGTCAATTCAACAGTGGAAAACTGAGCTTTAAGCTGTTATTTGGACTAATAACAGGAAATACAAAAGGCTTACAAAAAGTTAGAGAGAAAACACAAATTCTGCATGTACTACTATATTATCTGTATTTTATTCTACCATAAATGTTTTACACACAAACGGCACCACTTTCCTCTGTTTTTAGTAAGTTTACATGTGCTTCAAGAGAAGCAGTGCCCAAACTGCAGCAGTTTAGGCATTAACGTGCTTCTGATTCCCCTTCCTCCTGTGCCACCTTCCTCTGCCAATTGGTACTGCAACAACCACTGCAAAATAGCACAGCGATTTTAGAAATGGGAGTAGGGGGGCACATGAATAATATTTTGATGTTGGGATTTATAAAGCCCGATTCCCATTGCCCTGTACTGTTTGCACTCATTTAAGTGCAATGCAAAAGGGATTGGATGCTCTGTGGTCCCTTCACCTCCACAGAGCTGACTGCATGCTACGATGGACTCAGTTTCACTGCAAATGTCATTCATAATGCAAAGCAGGCAGAGGGTAAGGCGGTGCCTGGCCAGGAAACACAGTCCTTGTAACATTTTGCAGCCTGCATCATCTGTCCATGAAACACTGCAGAGTAGCAGAGCATTTCCTTAGCAAGGAAAAAATGGTGCATAATTATTGTAGCTGTACAAGGGAAATCATGGGGAGCCTGTGAGCATGGATGATGAGCAGTTAGATAATAGACTAACGAGCAGGATGCCTACAGCCCATTAAAGAACTAACAAAAGGTCTACATGAGACACCTGTGGTATTGTACAAGGAAGACATGGAGACTAGAAAATGCCTAAATATAGCATTTAAAGATGTGTAGAGTGAACTGAACATGTGGTATTGCTAATAACTGGCTCTCTAGTGTGTGCTTAGCATATGGAGAAAGTAATTAACCAATTTAAAAGTGCATGAAAGACAAGTGACAGAAGATTCTAACCAACAGGAGAAGCAGTAAGTGCAAAAGAGAGGGCTGATTCGGTATACCTACGTGGGAAGCGAGGTCTGGATTCTCTGTACTGAGGCTGTCGCTGGAAGCCACTCTGCTGCTGAAGACCTTGCATTGTGAGTGCAACATGCATGAACACAGGAGCTGAACTGATAAAGAATTAAGTAAGGGCAAAACAGCATGACCTGGAGGGAGAAGTGGACATGAAGTGATCTGCATTAATACTGACCAGACAGCAAGCAGCCAACTCAGGGACACATTGGAGGGCTGGAGCAGTCCTGGAAAGAAGGAAAAAAATCACAGCAGTAAGCAGAGCATGTGCATGTTACGAAACACTGATGTGCTTTTAAGTCTTAACACACAAAATCCATCCATTGTCATGTGTGGCAGTAATTTAGTGTATTGGATGAGCAGTTTTTCTCTTCCAGTTTTAGCAATTTTGGAAAATTTATCTTCAGCCACTAGTGGTCGTTGTTGTCCTGTGCAGCAATAATTCCCAGACTTAGCACAGAAAACACAATTTCCACGAGATTATTTTTACCAGGTACGAACCATAGTCAAAATTTTAAAGTCAAGGATAAAACAGCAGATCTGCTCATTCATCAGGAGATGAATGGGTGTTACACTTATCTCTCCCTGCAAATTATATTCAGTGTCAAGGAAAACACAACAGTTTGACAACAATTAGGTATTGCAATGAATTGGAAACACTGCAGCAAGCCAAGCAGACACTGCTTTGTTTACAGAGTTCATGTAAACACTGATTTCGATGCAGCTCCTTTTATCTTTTGTTCATGTATGTCCCCCAGCCTAATGACAGGCAACTGCAAAATCACAGGAAAATATGATGCTCTGTTTTGTGGAAGTTTTGTGTTTGGTGAGTGCTTATACAATGCAAGTGCTCAAACAAAGCAGTTACTGCTTTCCCTAGCTTCTCCCAGACAAAGTCTCTGCAGTATATAGAGTTAAAAATTTAGGCCTAGATTGACAAAGGGACACAGGCTTTTAAGCGCTTAGCTTTTAGGTATCCAGCTGGTGGAGCAGAATTCACAAATATGAGCAGAGCATTGAGGGGGTGGCTGCAAAGCATATTTCAGTGCTGCACAGAGTTACCCTGGCTACTCTGTATGAGCCAGTTCAGGCAGTTGAAACAGCATAGCCACAGACCTTCTTGAAATGCCACAAGGTACACAAAAGGTGATCTCACCATAATTACTAAGTTGAATGTTACATGTCTAACTGGCTGCACTAGTGAAAAGCTTGGTACCTATGGACTCTGAAATGCTCTGACCACCAGACATGGTTTTCATGGCTCTGCAACAAAGCTCTATGTTGTTTTGTGTTCCACCCCCCCTCCTTTTTTTTTTTCACAAGCACCTGTGATTTTGAGGGTTTAGATCTTAATTTCCTTTTACTATCTGCATCCATTAATGAAGAGAAAATAAGAATATAATAACCCATTCTCCAAGCTTTCCTCCCTTTAGCTTACTCACTCCACTGCCTTTTCCAGACAGCCACATCCAACTGCTTTATGCCCAAGTGGGACAGAAAGTCACCTGAAAAAGGTCATAAAAGGCATCACTGCCTTTCCATATAGTTTATCAGATCACAAAATGCAACACTCTGATGAGGGTAAATGCAAGTTCTGCATTTTATGGAGGATTATTTTTCCTAGGTTCCATGTTTAAAACAGCATTATCAAAGCTATTCCAACAGATTAATAACAACAGCTAGAGGTAAAATAGCTCTTTTTGAGCAATTTGGCTAGAAGAAGTTTTAATAAGAAGTGAAGATAAAAATTAGGGAAAAAGATGAAGAGTGACTGCTTTCACTTGTTCCAGTTTTCTGCATTTTACAGGTGATAAATTCAGTTACTATAAAAACCTCAACCTTTGGTAGAATGTCATGTTATGATTATCTTTCAATTACAATCACTAATCACCACTATAAGGATACCACACTGTTTGCCCTCTTTCTATTGGCTTCAGAAATAAAATTTCTGAAACTAGAAAGCCACAGCTTAACTTTAAAGCTCCTTTAAAAATATAAAGATTTTATTAATACACATATAACTAACTATATGTGCTCATAAATATATGTATGTACATACACTCTTGCAGACACAATTTCCTTTTACATGAGCAAGAGCTTTTCAGCTTGATTTAGATATCACCAATAAAGGAAACTCCATCTCTTCTCTAGGAAAGGAAAATGGGAACTTTCTTCGGGACAAGCATGATATGCTACCATCCATTTTAAACATTTAACAGTGCTTTGGCATTTTGCCCATTCTCTTGGTTAAGCAACACATGAAACACATTACCCATGGATGCAGAGTGTGCAGGACAGACTGACTGAGACAATCTGATAGGAAAAGGACTTAAAACAGACTAATATCATTTTGAACAATGTGGGGAAAAAAAGGTTGCCAAAAAACTGACCAAAGATTCAATTGAAATTTCAGTGTTGTCATTAGTAATTTCTCCATTGACTTTGATGGGCTTCAAATTAAGTCTCAAATCTATAAAATGAGAAACGGAAGAAGAAACAGGTTTTGCAGAAAACCTCATGTCATCTTCACCATGAGCCTGCTGCAAGCTTTCAGAAGCATGTGTGACCACTACACAGACAATAGAAGAGCAAGCACCTAATTTCCAAATGTCTTCCTTTTCTCTACAGGAAACTGTTCTGAGGCAGCTATTTCCTAAAAAAGTTTTTCTGTTCTCTCTTTGAACTTTTATGAAGAAATATACTTAATACCCAACAATACTCCAGTGGTAGACAGAATCAAACATGCTCATACCATTCACACAGTAGGACACGTTTAGACACACACTGTATATTTAGTTGCAGACTGTCCCAAAAGCTATGCACTCAAAAAAAATAAAGAAAAATATTTTTTAAAAAAAGTTTTTTAAAAAAATATTTTAAATCCAGTTCTGCATAATTCCATTTTAGTGCAATCTATATTCACACAAGCATTTAAATATTCTATTAAAATGGATCCATCATCAAATAACGTGGAATCCAGCGAAGTAATAGCTAACATCTTAGTGCTAAGCCTCCATCAGAGTCACAACGGTGCCTTGATACCCCCTTCATTTATTTCCAATTCTGGCACCTGTAACCATGGCAACATATACTGAAACCTTTCAAGCAGAACAGAACTGACAATCACGATAACAGCACAAAATACCTGAGGTGGGGAAAAAAGAGGAGAGGCACAAGCAGGTAGTTGCTGAAATTAAAAGCTAATGACAAGAAAACATCTGGAAACAAAGCTGGCTCACATGATCATATTCTCTAGGCAGATGTATTTTTGCAAACCTTGTCTGTGCTGTCTTATTAGCTGCACAGCTACAGAAAAGAGAGAGAAAATAAATATTGTTTCAACAAAGAGTAGAAGTGTGAACTTGAAAAAGTTACTGCAAATAGAAAACAACTGTATTTCTCTTGTATGGAAGTCCAACACTGCTCAACAGTAGCCCATGGAAAAGCAAATATTTTTTCCAAATGCAAACTGTCACAAATGTGCCTCAGAGAAACGTCATCCAGCAAGAAAGAAAGAGGAGTCACCTTTTAAAGTGATTCTAAAAGAATAATTCCATTAGCCTACATCAAAGAGAAGGTTTGAAATGAGCATGAGTTAATAAACCATATATGTGTAAACTGGGATAACTTCCTAGACATTTAAGGAATCTAATTAGCATTTGAATGCTGTGAAGCAAGAAAGGGAAATTCTATCTTTAAACTGTAACAATCAAAAGTAGAAATGAGATTGACCTGTCTGGGAGAGCCTAGCAGGATGCAGCCGCAAGGTTAGCTTAGAAGGTTTACAGGGCTGGAGTTGAAAAAAAGACAAAGATCAAGGCCTTCATGAGACCTGCAAGGAAAGCTTGTAGTTTTCATCCATTACCCCATGAAGATAAATGCAGAGAAGAGCATTACAGGAGTAAGGGAGAGACTTGCACCAACATCCCCATTGCAGCACTCCACTCACCTCACAAACCATAAACCATGAATTGGGCAACAGAGCTTCAGGAAACCCATCAGGAAAGTCAGTAAGGCTCACTGAAAGAAAAAGAAAAAAAAAGAAAAAAAAAAAAAGAAAAAAAAAAAGAGGAAGAATATGAGACAAAAGCAAACAAGATGCTAAACTAGACAGCCAAGGGAAAGAGGCAGTGCATCTGGGGATTTCTCTGCTAAGAAGCTGTAATCCCCAAGAAACCAATGTGAGCTATCCCACCAAACCTTGTTTTGAGATTGCATAACGGTTGCCTAAGGGGCTTCACATGCTCTCAAAAGTTGCATATTATATTTAGCCTGCTACAATCCATATGGTGTCCTGTTAGATACCTTTTTCATCCTTAGACATCAGAAGAAAATATAAAAATACCATAGCAGATATTAGGCAGGATAAATCCTGTTTTCACATGGGACAGAGTGACAGCAAATGGAATACAAAGAACAGGCTGGGGACTGTCAGAAAGGCCTGAACCCTGCAGATGTGTAAATACACACAGGGGAAGGCAAACCTCCCAGCATCAGACACTGCAGCCTCATGAAGCAGAGGGTCAGAGAGCTGTGGTGGCCCTGGCATGTTACTGCTCCATCTCTCTGAGTGATAATGATAGAGGGGCTGTTGTCCTTCTGCTCAAGGCTCTCCTCTTTGCCCTGGTCCCTTATTGATTCAAATCTCATTGTGGAACAGACAGATGCAGGACTCAACGGGAGCAGAGGAAGATTCAGACTTGAAATGGAGAACACCGAAATGGAGAAGAGCTGGGATGTGAGTGAGCATTAATGTTCTGAGAAAAGGGTCAGTCTCCTCTTTCTCACTTGCTTCTCAGGAGGGAAAACGCAACTGTCAAGCCACAGTGCATGAAAAAGCTGTCATTCACAGTCACATGGGAGCACCTTATTCTCCTTCCTCTGGGGAATTTCCTCAGTCACTCGATTGTGTAAGAGAGAACATTTTTCCTCTACAATCATGTCTCATTGACTCCTATTTTCTTCTTTGTCGTTCATAAGGCTCTTTTTCCTGACCTTCAAGAATGTTTTGAGCTTTCCAACTGATTTCTCTAATGCCTTCAGGTTAATACGGGTTCAGTGGTAGCAGAATTTAACAGCAGGTTTGCAAACAACAGTCGCTCAAACGCATGGGAGCAACAGGAAAGGATAAGGAAAAACAGACAAGTATAAACCATGGGGCAAAGCCTTCCCCATCCCAGCAGCCTGCCCGGATGTGTTTCACTCCAGCTGGAGCTCACGGTGCCCCACTGTGCTCCATCTGCATGCAACCGCATGTCCTACACTGCATCTTCTGTACCCCACACATTGTTCAAAGTCTCTGCTTCCCCACATTTCAGCTTACAGACCAGAGCCTTACCTGTTCCACAAAGCCTGGACCCACAGATGCCAAAGCCAAAGGAGAATGTTGCAGTCCCCTCCAAACTGAACTCCTCCATAACACGCTTAGATTTAGTCAAACAATTTCTACTGTTACAGCATTTTTGTAGGCATCCCACCTTGAGTTAAGAACTTTCAGTGGTGGAAAAGGTAATGTGCCCCTTGAGAAGCTATTTCAATGGTTAATTAATCTCACCTTAAAAACAGCCTGCTTACTTTCTTATATTTGCTGACTTCAACAATTTCTACATACATGATCTTGTTATACTTCTAACAAACATACAGTAACAGGATTTCTGTATTTACTAGGGTGCTGACAGATGAAAAAAAAAAAAATCAGCTGTCTTTTCCAAATAATCTAATTAACGTCCCACCATGAAGACCTTTTTACTTCAAAATCTCACTAGATCTGTTTTACAAAAAGATAGCCACATATTCTCAGATTGCTAGGAACTACAGCAGCAAAAGCATTTACAGCCAGAATCCCTGTATTTCCGTACTCACTTTCACCTAAAAGAAAAAGTATGAAAATCTTACCTGACTCCAAATTTAAAGGTTTTTTTTCCACTTCGCAACTTTAAAGATAATTCATTGTCACTGGGAGTAAAATTACATGTTTGACTGCTATAATGAAAATGTTAATATCCTGGATTTAAGTCATTCTGACATGGAAACATGTTAATAACCTAATTTTTATTTATTTATTTATTTATAGATTCTTTGCCATCCCAAAATGCGAGGGAAAGCTTACACAGCAAGAATACTCAGTAACTTAAAATGATTTGGAGTCATAAAAGCAGAATGCTTTATCTCAAGTTTGACTTCTCAGAAAACATAAAATAACTAATATTTCAAAACAAAAGGTCCTTTAGGGTTAAAGAAATTAAACTTGTTTACTGCCACTTTTTCACTTTTTTTTTTTCCCTAATTTGCTCCCAGATCGGTTAGATTATTTGAAATCTACTCATTTTTGTGGACATGTTTTTGTGTAGTGATCTGCAATTTTCTTACAGAAAATGTTTCATCAACTATTTGACTTGGTATCACAGGGTGTTTTTCTAGTTTGTAATCCAAAAATTCATCAAGACAGCCTGGCAGAAAATTGCACAAAAGGATACTAACCTGACAAAAACAAATGCTTGAAACCCCCTCTGTAACAGGGTATCAACAATGAGCAAGGTTTTTTTGGAAGAGTCCCACAGTGGCAGTGGATGTGGGCAATGTCAGAAGAGGGATAAAACAGACCAGAAGATAAACTGGATAAAACAACACGTATGCAGGCATATATATATATATCAGGGATAAATAATAATAAAAGTACCTAACTGTGTCTTACATCTAGGTAGAAATTACTGAGGAGAGGGACTTTTCCTGGTAAACTGTGACTGTGGGCACTGTGACCCACAAGCATGAGCTCTCAGCACAGGCTGAGTACACGGCTTTGGAAGGAGGGGTTTGACACAGGCTCAGAGCAAAGGTTCTAGCAAGGAACTTCAGCAGAAGGCTGTTGACATACATGTACACCTCTACCTCTGCTCCCAGTACACTGCAAATTTTGCCAGCGTCACAGCAAGCAGCAGTCTGTCACCCATCACATCACAGGCCTTCTGCTCTAATTCATGTTCATTTCAACACACCGCACGCTGATTCTTGGTGCCAAGTGAAAAGAACAGTTTGAAGCAAGTTATCTCAGACATACCCAGAGCAGTGTCCAGGAAATCAATACAGCCCACGTTAGAATAAGAGTGCAATTGGTTACAATTTGCCATCTGCAGGTGCTGTTAGGGATACAGGATAGGAAGGGAAAATAACAATAGTTATTTCATAAAATCACGAATGCCGAGAGACAATTCTAGATGTTCTGACATGAAAAATTGTCTTGTTTGCTACTTGCTTCCACCAGCTGTTTCTGACTTCCCAGCCCAGACAGCAGTAACACAGCAGAAAAGAGTCAGGCTATCAGCATTCAGTCCTATGGCCCTGTGGACCCAAAACCCCATCCAAAGACCCTGGTTCCCTGCAGCTGAAGAGCTGGTAGTGTAAGGGAGTGGAAGAGCACAGGATCAGCTCTCCAGCTGCATGCCCCAGCAGTAATAGGCCATCCCCAAGAGAACAGAAAGCCCTAATAACTCCACACACACACACACAAATTCATCTGAATGTATTGCTACCAGTAAAATTATTAGCACTGATTGTTATCTGTCCTGTTCCTGCTATAGGACTGGTCTAAAGGGCAGGAGTACAACCCAGAATCAGGGCTTTACAACTGTCCAGCTGGTACCTACCTACCACTACCTATATCATGGAAAATCTGTATTTTTATTTTTTTAGTTATTATATTTTAAGCTCATGCTTTATGATTTCAGAATTAGGATTGAATCCTATTAGGGAGACAAAAGGCTCCTTGTAGTTCATACACATCGAATAGTGTGAGAGATAGAGAGACTATTATATTTGGCACAATATTTAGAGAAATTAATCCTCAAGAGCTAAAGATTTGAGGGATTAACGCGCTGAGTGACAGCTGAGCTCATCCAGCCTATATCCCTGGATTGTGCAGCAAAACCATTTGCCTTCAACTTGAACATGTTCCTCACTTCTGCCTGAGTCAGCATGATTCCTGCCTTTATTGCACTCAGGTCTTCAGGGGAGATCAACAAACTCATAAATCCTCATTTCACAACATTTTGAAAAAATGTTACATTATGTTCATTTCTAAGATTTCATATGTCCTTTCTTCCCCTCTGTACAAAAGACCTACACTATATATGAAGTGTATTACAACATTCAAAATTTGATTTAGAGTTATTGAAACTGTCCATTTTCAATGAGAAATAACGTATATCAGTCACCAGACAAGCATGTCCACAAAGTAACATCCAGCCCCTCCCAAACATTACCTGAAGAAGCACTAACTAGCACCAGACCCTAACTACTCTGTCATTCTTCCCTTGCACAAATTTCACAGAGAAGAAATGTGAATATTCCTCTGGACTGAAGTGGGGTGATGAGGAGAGAGGGCACCTGCAGCCATCTCCAGTCACTGCAAATGGGCTAGGAAATAGGAAGAAGCAGCTCCAGTATTGGACAGATGCACTGCCAAGACTGAGACATCACTAGTAGACCAGATTTTGTGGTTGCCATGGCAGTGGCAGCATGGGGCCATGGCAAAAAACAAGGACAAGGAATATTCACTGCAAACTTATTTTTGTAAGCTTTGGGAAAAAAAAAAAAAAAAAAAAAAAAACCACTGTGAAAATAGCTAAAATAAATTTACAGTGAATATTTCCAATGTCTCAGCAGTACTTTGGAATCAAAGAAACGCCCAAGCACCAGAAGATTAGACAAGGTGCAATTTTGCTCTGAGCTGTACAACTCTGTAGAAACTGGTGAGGTTACAAGGTTGCATCCAAAAGGATCTCTTAAATGACAGTGCTAATGGATTTCTTGCCTTTACAGGGCTTGAGATACTACAAGAGGAGGAGAGTCCCTCCAAGAAACAGTCACCCAGGTGGCTGGCAGAATTCACCTGGTTTTGTGCAAAATGGAGCTATTTACTGCCCTCCACACAACTTCTTGCAGCAAAGGTGACCATGGCAGGATGTTTTTGCCATCTTTCTTCCCAATTATCAGCTTCTTTTCCACAGCCATTTTTGGAAAGTAACA